TCCTGTTAGACAGGTCAAGCCGCTTCATTCTGACTCAGAGGCAACTCATCAGCTAATCAACATCGGCTTCCTGCAGGTAGGAGATTTGGTGCGCTGATGGGGTTCTTGATGAGAGTGGAGGAGTGCTTGGATTACCGTGAGACGGCAGTGTGCGATATTTAAGCCCTAAGAGCAATGTAAAACGAATCGCTGGAAATAGAAACAGCATTGCTATAAATGGTAAACTTTCAACAAGTACTTGCAAGACAGTTGATTTTAAAATGGCTACACATCGCAGCATCAGTATAATGCCTTGGACGATGCACTCAATCTAAAAATAACAATTTTCTTTCTTAGAAACAAAAAGCCAAATTAGTGAAAGACTAAACTTTACTGCTAGAAGCAGTATAAAATTAAATTCACACAATTAATCCTGATATTAATTGAACAGAGATGTCTGCTAAGTTTTTCTTCAAGCAATAATGAATCGCCACAATGCTTTGAACAATTAACGGCTGATCACGCAAGCAAGCGAATGGTGCATGGATTTGAAATCTTTGGGGATTTACCTCGAATCCAATTGGCAGTCGAAGTGAGCACTATAATGCCAAGTTGATGATCGCCTAATTATTGGTTAATTATAAACTCTAAATGCAAGCATTAAATTTTTGTCTCTTTCGCGGCATCATCATTACCCCGCATCATCATGCACATTGAAGTTGAACACCTGAATTCCACAATTCTCTCTTTAAGAGTTGACAAGGAATTTACTGTAGATAACTTGAAACATATAGTGAGCCAGAATATACATATACCTGCATCTGATCTAACGTTGGCATGCAATGGTTCTCTGCTCGAAGATGGACATCGTTTCTCTGAGTATTTCGCTGGGGATAGGTGCAAGGTCCTTTTATTTTTGCGCAAAGGTGAACAGATACGGAGCAACATTGAAGTCGACTTTGGCGACGGAAGAGTTTTATTTATTCCCGCCTGCATGAGCTGGACTGTAGGCGAACTAAAGCGAAAACTACAAAATGCTACTAAAGGTGAGCATTTGGACGAGACCAAGGTTTTTACGTTTACTCGTTTTATAATGGAGGATAATCGTAGGCTTGAAGAATATAAGCTCAAAGAAGGTTCAAAAATACTTGTATTCAGTTATTTGAACACGGATCCAGCAAATACTATGAATGGAGAAGCTGCGCCTATTAAAAATGAGGAAGAGACTTCTCAACCCATCGTTTCTTATCGGGTATTCGAAAATCCTGTTGATGACGTTATTAAGTCTTCCTTATCGTGTACCACTCCTTTGCCTCCTTCGCCATCTCCTCCCCCTCTTTTGGAGCAGTCAAAGACAAAGTCTGCGGAAGACCAAAACGAGTACCTCATCTTATCCACCGATTCACCCGTTCCACCGCAGACAACAGAATTGAGTTCCTCATGGAATGCAGCTGCAAACCTTACTGAATACCATCCTCATAATAGTTCATCGAATCTGAAAAATGGTTCTGAATCTCTGAAATCGTGGCAAGCTTCCGTAGAGCCCAAAACGATTGTCATACCTGGAAAGTTTCGCCAACGTCAGACAAAACCTGTTTTTAATAGACACTTCCAGTCTGGAACGGGAATATCTGATCGTGGCAAAAATGTCGATAAGATGGATGTCATATTCACCGATGGAACCAGAAAGATGTCAGTAGAATTGCCTACAACAGCAACTGTCTTAGAGGGCTTGGAAGCCGTAAAAACAAGGATTTCCGACAGTGATAAGGACAAGTTTCGATTGTTTAAGGGATACGTTCAAATGGAAGCTCATCATCCCCTTAGTCAATATGGAGTGGTAAATGGTTCCACAGTCGTGTTCAAAAAACCTGGTCCAGTCCAGAAATTTTAATGATGAACTATTACATTCGACTCTTGGTTTGTAATGCTTTGAATTGTTTTGGGCTTCTCAAATCATTTCCTTTAGTTTCCTGCACACCTTGTGAAGACACTCACTTGTTTGGCATTGTCCTCAGGGTAACTCAATTATTTGGGCAAGCAATATTAGTCCTACACACAATAATACAGTTACAGAAATGGAACCAGAATTCCTGAAAATTTGTTGAATCACAAATTGAATTTGTCATACTTGAATGTTCGAGTAAAAGGTAATTTGGGTGAAACCAAAAAATGAAACTTCTGTTGCAAAACAGTAATGGTGAACGGATTCGTAGCTTCCTACAATTTGACCGACCCATAATTATAGATACAAAATTGCCTTCTTGAGAGTTCATCCGTGTTTGGAGAGCCCTGGCATTACATTATGCAAACACTGCAGTGATTATCAAAATTCACTGCTTCACTTTCCATTACGTTTAAATTGTGGAGTCACTGCATCTCGATGGCAGTGTAAGTGGCACTGCCTTCGGCTCATTTTGCGATGTGTCGACTCTGGTTTAGCACCCATTCAACAAGTTTACCTTTAACCCTCCGTGCACAGACTACATGATTCTCGTTGAAAGTAGCGTAAAGAAGCAATCACTAACACCATTACACTTCTCAAAGGCCGCTTTCCCATATTTG